AAAAAAAAAAGCAAAAGCAAAAGCAAACCAAAACCAAAACCTATATATAATCAGCTAATAATTTGCTGGTCAAAATATGCTATCTCACTCAGCTCATCCACTTTGGAACTTATTGGCAAGAGAAAATGAGTAAACTCCATCTTTGGTCTCCTTCTACCAGCAGGCAAATACATTTTTATTCAGTCAGGGCTTTGGCTTTGAAGCCAGTTTGTAAACTGAAATAGGATGAACTTGTATCAGTTTCCAGATGAAATCTCAGTTGCTAGTTAGATGCTATTTTGTGAAGGTAGGCTTTGCAAGACATCCTTAAGGAAAGGGACAGGCTGAGCCCAAGACTTACAGCATGTGCTCTTGCTCCACGGAGGTGAAAATGTCCAGTCTTCTGAATCAACGGTCCTTATTCTGTGAGATGTGGACATCCTTAGCACACAAGATGGAATTGATCCTGCCCATCATTTGGCAGTTAGTGGTAGCATGAAAAAGGATGACATCAAAAGGCCCCTAAATAAATGGCACAATCTTTTTAAATAACTTGTCTTTATGTATCAATTATAATTGCATGTTTTACTGGTATTTTTATTTATTAGCTGCCTTGATCATGATTGTTAGCTGAAGAGCAAACTGTACATTAAAAAAAATAGGTCCTTGCTTGCATAGCATTATGGTAAAGGGGTAGGGGAAAGGTTGTTTGGTTTGTATTTAAATACAGATCAGTAGAATTCACAATGACCAGTCTCAAAGTCAAACTAAGAAACAATTATTTTTTAAAAGCTTTTTTGGGTAAAGTGATGCAGGTCTTAAAAATTGTATATAAAAATATTAGGGAAAAACTAAAAAAAAAAAGGTATCAAAAAAGCAGTTTGGGAAAGTGCTTATGAAGACATATTTGCACCTTACTATCCAAAAAGGTTTAACAATTAAATGGGCTTATGCCTTAATGTATAAAAATAGCTACACTAAATGAATAAAGGTGTAACAATTAAATGGGCTTATGCCTTAATGTATAAAAATAGCTACACTAAATGAATTAGGGAAAAACTAAAAAAAAAAAAGGTATCAAAAAAGCAGTTTGGGAAAGTGCTTATGAAGACATATTTGCACCTTACTATCCACAAAGGTGTAACAATTAAATGGGCTTATGCCTTAATGTATAAAAATAGCTACACTAAATGAATTGTTTGCAAATGTTTCTTTTACAATGGGGAGTTGCCTGGTCTAGTATTCAGTTAAGGTGTTTTTATGCTGTTCAGCAAAACTGATGAAAGATCCATGAAGTCAGAAACAAGCATAATTTCCTGCGATGTTCCTCCAGAGAATCCAAAGGATCATGAAGATGTGTCTGCTGGTAAGTGATACCTACCCTGTTCCATAGCTTTTTAAATTGGTTCTATGGAGGGCATTAGCACTGCATGCTTAGAGAAGCAATAAGAATGTGTGCATCGGTTTTTCTGCAGTTAAGCTGAGATATTTTCATTTTGTGCTGAATTAGGCATCTGCAGATTTATCAATTTATATTGTTTTAATATGGATGTCGACAATTACAAGAATGAATGCAAGGCGAGTAATTTCAAGAAAAAGCCATGCTCTGAAAAGTAGCAATGCCTAGCTTTGCATTGTCTTGAAAAGCATAGCCTTAGCAGTGGGAAGACAGAAATAAGTGATGGGAAGGCATACTCCTTTAGACGCTTCTGCTTCCATCATTGCTTTTGTAGATCCTTGCTTCTAGTTCATCAGCTTCTCACAAACCTGCAAACATTCAGAACATATCCCACCCATTCGTGAAGTAGAAAATACTACTAGAATAGATGTGAGAAGAGTTATTATAATAGTTAAGAAAAAGAACGAAGACCAAATATAAATGATTGGCTTAGGCAGAAGCAATTTTGATTATGTTCTGAGATTTGGACAATTGGAATTCAAGTTGAAACTCTTCTCTTCTCAGACTGAGCAGATTTTGGGGGGGAAAGATTGATATACTGTATTTTTGTGATTACAACCAAAAGAACATGGGAATATGGCCAAAGGAAAACATCCTTCTGATGCTTTGAAGGAACTGGAGCAAATCTCTAGACTCCTATGTACTTTTTCTTTCTGTAGATGACTCCTCAACTGTCCATGTGGGTGAGAGGAACAGTTTCAGAAAAGTCCTAGAACACAGCCCAGAAGATGAAGCTATTATTGAAACCTTGCTGGATATGGAAGAGGAATACAGATTAAACAGCTCCACCTTGCACCAGCTGCACTAGGCGGGTGGTGTAAAGTGTGAACTATTTTTCAGATTTGGTAGTAGAATTTTTAAACCATGGAAAATTTGGCAAGCAATCCTAACTGTTGCAGGATGTGCTATTAAAGTAAGTGATTTACAATATTGCGTGGAATTCCCTTTTTCTTCTCAGTAGGATAATGAACAGTAGCTAAATCAGTAGCTGTTTATTCTTTGCCCTTCAAGGTACAAGGTTTCCATTACAAAGAAGATAAGCCAGCCTGTGACATAATTACTTTGTCATGGTTGCTTCCAAGTATTTGCCAAGCAGCAAACATTTATGTCTTTAGAGTCAGAAAAAATAAGACCTGAATCATGGGATGAATTTCACAGAAGGAAACACAATATAGATAACCACTAGTAACAGTTAAAATTGACTGTGGTGGAATGAAATCTATTTATTTCTTGTATCTGAAGATTCATAAACGGTAGGGCCTTGTGCATCTAGAACTGATGATTTACTCCATGATTTGGAGTAAATACTGTTTACCAATACTGTTATTGGCCATGGAAAAAACAGTAGGCAGCAGGGTGCTCTTTATCAGGAGAGGATGGTTGGCAAAATACTTATGTACTTAGGCATGATCTATTTTGTCTTTATCAAAATTAGGCCATGCATAAGTGCATAAATATTGTCACCGATTAAAATAAGGAACCATGGTCCAGTTTTGTAAGGAACATATACAAATATTTGCATAATATAACTGGAAACATTGTTATATTAAAATATGTCTACAAGTCTCTAGTAAACAAACAAATGTCCTAGAGCTACACGTAATTCTAGGGTTATCCGCATCCATAATGGGAAAATGGCCCTCCTCTACCTAATTTTGTATGGGATGACATAGAGAATGCTGTATGTGATGTATTACCTATAGCTCTGCTTCTAGTTCTGTGCATCATTGGCAACTGTTGCCACTGTCTCCTTGTGATGTATCACCCTTCATACATGGCAAAGGCCTCCATTTTTCATCTGTATTAAAACCAAACTGGCTTCTATTTATAAAACTTACTAATATGAGAAGGTGATGCAATAATACTGTAGTTAAGGGGAAAATGGAAATTTAATATCAGATAATTATCTGTACCTCAGATGATTTATAGATATATTTACTATATCTCAATAAATATTCAAGCTTAGAATGCCACTTTTTTCCAGCTGTCCCTTAAATCATTTGATATGAGCACACTACCTAGCATAGTATGAATTACTTTATATATTCTATAGAAAAATGTGTACCAGTACTACTAAAGTGCACCTTAAAGAGTTATTTGCCATGAACGTGGAATAGACAAATAGCTGTACACATCAACCCAGATATGCAGTGAAAAAAAAGAGTTAATGGATGTTTTTCAAGTTATGATATGGGGAGGGTTTTCTTTTCTTTCTTTATGGGGAAATGGCACTGTGATACAAAACAAGTGACATTGCTGCTGAGCATTTGCATAAAATAAAACAAACCTAAAGTGGGTAAAGTTGGATGCCCTGAAATTAAAAAAAATAAGCCATTTTCATCATCTTAATTACTGAATAAATTATCTTCATGTATGAGACAGAATTAAGCTCACAAATCTGAAACCCAGAGACTCTGCCTACAGCGGAAGAAACAAAGCACAGGGATACTCACGTAGGCTTCGCTGACATAGCTAGCTGCAAAGCAGCATACACATCTTCCCCCTCTAAGACAGCAATGGGAAACATCTGGTCTGCAGGCCATGTCCAAACCCCCATCCCCCAGCATCAGAACCAACAACTCAAGATGTTACCTGTAGTGTTTTGAAGCAGTGTTTCCATTGAGCTGAACAGTCTGAGAGGAGAAGCTTAAACCTCACTTTCTTCATAATTCCCCCTCCCTCAGGTGCTTAACTTATTGGGTAGAATTAAGGAACAAGGAAAAGAGATCCGTTTTCTTCTCATTCCTATTTTTTGTTTGTGACAGAGAGAAAGAGGATGGGAATCTTATTAAATGAAACATGCATCTCCACAGGTTGCCATTGGGACAATGTAGATCTTGGGCTTATTTGTTTTAATTGCTATAGCACTGCTGTTTCACCGCTGTAACGAACTGTTTGTTGTTATTCTGCGTATACACAGAACCACAATATAGCATAACTCAACAAGTGCATAGACTTCAATTCTCAGGATTCTCAGAAAAGGTCTCACTAGCTGGGGAATTCTTGAAACTGTAGACTTATCAAGGGTAGATCAAGGCCAATGATGCTCTGAAAAGTTGTAACATGAAATATTTGAAATACAAACACCACACTGTTAAAAAAAAGCTTAACTGGTCTTTTAATGCACTGCTACTTTAGTGTCACAGTTTGACAACTGAGCCACAGCCACATACTGCTTTTGGCTGGTAACTAAAGAACTTTATTTAATCAATTTCAGGAATGTCCATTGTCTTGATTATACATACAAGACTCCCTACCCCAAAGCTATGAACACAATTCATAAAGAATCTTAGGTCATACACATGTTGAAACTTTAAATGCTTGTGCCTTAAGAAAGGATTAGTTTAAGATCTCAAGCCTGTTTTCAATAGATCTAAAATCCATCAAAAACATATCTCAATTAAAAAAAAAGAAAGAATTAATCTGGTTCCAATCCATATTCTACTAACATTCCAGTCATTCTAAAATTAAAATCTAACCATAAGTTATTCTAGACGGTGATATCTAATACAGTGAAACTTATTTACTTTCCATTTTGGTAACAGATTCAGTTACTGTGTTTACCTAGGTGACAGGAGAAAAACTAGAAAGCAAAAGGTGACACTCTATCCAGCTCTTAGCCAAGGTCCAAGACTTTCTAGTAACTTGAGTATCTGGATAACCAAATGGCAGCAAGCAGAGAGAACACTTGCACACTCCTTCCACCTAAATTCAAGTCTTTAAGGATAGGTAGTTTCTCAAATGTAGTGGGGCTAAGTGCTAGCTGTCAAAGAGGCTTCAGGGTTAAATCCTATACCAATCTTTTGGGAAACACTGTGACATTTAACAGGTACAGCAGCAGTGTGTTGAACCCAAAACACATTTCCAGTTGTCTACAACATATAAATTCTTCTTCCAATAAGTTTGGCTTGGGCTACAAGTTTAGTAGTTTATGTTTGACCTATGAAGAACTATCAGCAAGAGTGCTAATATGACTCAGAAGACATCAGCTAAAGTCTCAGAAGAGGTCCTTGAAGCAAGACTTTTTGCCTGCAGCTACATAACTCACCGAAATTCTGATCAGATTTATTCTGGTCATCAATAAGAACACACTTCAGATATTAAACATAACTGATTTAATGCCAGCCAAATGAAGATGCTCAGAACATGGATGTCTGCAATTCTTCCTTGAACATGCCTTCAAAGCGGAGATCTTTAGCCATGAGTTCTTCCTCAACATCCTCCAATGCCCACTGATGGTCTGTCAGTTCTAGAGCCTCCCATTCTGTCTGTAATGGTAAGGAAAGAGCACTGATAGGACCAGCAGAGTATCATCAACTCTTTTGAAATGTATTGAGAAGTCTTGTTCAATATCACGTCTTAGTTTATTCCTATTAGTTTAGTTTGTGAATTTTACATCAGCAGCCTGGGGCTTATGACTGAAAGGTAGGCAAGGAGTGAAGATCTGGGCAGTTTGGGCATAGATGCATGATTAACTTGCTTCTACAAGATGCATGTGTGTGGTGGGGGAGGGGGAATTAAGCTCTGGAGAATAAGAGGTGCAGGGGGGAAAGCTCCTCATACCTAACAACTGTCTGAACACCTCACCAGCCCTCTTCCTGAGCAATATGTCTGTTGGTGCTAATGCTTAACATGTTATAACCATAGCCATATTTTGCATAACATGTCACTTTTAACTAAGAAACACAACCTCTCCGAAGAAGATGCACAGGGACTTCTATGTTGTTTTCTCTCAATAAAGCTAGACACTGAGCCAACTAATTCTGTAGATTACCAAATAAATTCCTCATATTTCCATTGTGTCCACAACTTAAATGAATTTAATCATATGAATTTCTGCCCAAAGTCTCCAAAGCACTGACCAAGTTTGTTGAACTTCACTGCTGCTCTGAATTAACTGGATATACTGATACATGCTAAAGTCATAAGCAGTTTGTTCATGCTAATGGCCTTTTCACTGACAATTCAACAATACATTTCCAAAGAACTTCAGTATAATTCAAAAATATTAGATGTGAATACAGATTTTCAATCTCATTATTTTCTAGAGCAGTGTTTCTCAAAGTTTCCCCAAGACCCTCTTAGTGGTCCGTGAAATCAAAATTATTTGCCAGCCTACGTTGAAAAATAATACAATATTAAAATCCCATCAAACAATCATGATATGCAGCAGCAACAAATGTGTCCATTTTAATTTTTAATACGGTAAATATTGATAAATATAACCCATACAAAGAAAGGCTCTTTTGGGATCCTCCATAATTTTTAAAAGTGGGAAGGGATCCTCAGAGAAAAAAGTTCAAGAAGGAACACTCTTCTAGAGAATTATTTAGTAAGCATTCCTACCATGAATTCCAGATTAGCATGCTCTGCAGCTATTCTTGCTTTAAAACCATTTCCCTTTGTAGATTCAGGGAAATACTACCTATGATTTGAAGAGCTTATTTCAGCAGTGGAAACAAGTCTTGTACCTTGAATGCTTTATTAGTATCTGCAGGCATGGCCATGGCTGCTCCTGTCATCTGCTCCTGCATTACTCTGGACTGATCAGCAGCTACAAATATGAAAAAAAAGTGATTATAATACACTCTACAAGAGACGTTTTGGAAAGTGATGAACCAGCATTCATCTCCGTAAGTAACAACAAAATATCCTTCCAGCGTTCTGCAAATTAGGTACAAACAAGCTTGTGAAGCCAACAGGCTCAGTTTCTTCAGCATTAAACTGAAGACAAAAAGCTTTACACCTAGCTAGTGCTAAAGAAGTACATTTTAATTTGCAGAGGATACTAAGATGAGCAATTTGATTAGCACTCATAACACTAAAATTATTTCAAATAAACAGAGTCAGCAGCCAGAAACCATTTTAGGAGAGAAAAATACTAGTTATTATGAGTTCCAAATTGTATAATATGTACACATCAGGTTTCACCCTCCTTTTGAATTAAAGCCACAAGCAAATATTTCCTTGAATGGATATAATTTATGCCAGGGTTATGACTCATTCAAAAGATAACAGTTTAGTATTTTTCTGAGGAAACAGTAGTTACGTCTGACTTGAATTTTCTCCTGTCTCTTTATCAAACAAATGTTTAATTTAAATGAACAGAAAATAACTTACCATTATCTTGGCCAAGAATGAGGGTATAAATGCTTCTCAGTCCAAATACATTTAAAAAATACCAAGAAGCTGAGCTTACCCTAATAAATCAAAGAAATTAGGTGTTATTTAAATAATAAGAGTGCCTGTGTACAAGATCCACTTCAGATAAGGTTGGATAATGAAAAGCTCTTACCAAGATGCATCCAAAGTAAGCAATTCAATACCCTGTTGTAGCATTGGTTTAAAACGCAATGTCAGCGGAAAGGGGACTTTTGCTGCAAAAGTGAAAAAAAAAAAAGTCTGTTCAAAACAGAACAATTCTGTACGGCCCAATGCTTTATAAAAGAACACTTACAAGGAGATATTATGATAAGGTGCTTAAAACAGAACTTTCAAGAACTGAACAACAAAAAGAATGGGGAGCTGAAGAAGTGAAAAAAACAAAAGGCAGGAAAAATGTGAGAAAAAGAGTAAGCAGAGGAAACACACTCTGAGCGCAAAGTAAATCATTCGGAAAACAAAACCGAATAAACTAAACAAGCGCTGCACAAACACCATTATGAAAAGTGCAACTGAACACAAGAACAAAGCAGAAGCATTTGGACTAGTGTCCAGTACTGGCAAACGAGAATAGCAAGGTAAATAGGGTAACACATACTTCAAAAGGAACAATCACTTCCAAAAGAAAGAACATCATTCCTCATATGTACTGAGTCCATGTTCTAAGCCACACAGCAGTTTCAGTGTAAGTTGCTATTTTCTTTTCAGAGACAGAAAACTGAAGATAACAAATGATGACTTGTACAAGGCTCCCATAGCCAAGAAAACAAACAAATGGATCATCGAATAAATCAAACCAGAATTTTCACTGTAGGCCCAAATGCTCAAATTATCCTACTTCAGATACATTATGTGAAGACTAGCTCTTTGGAGAAGGCTCTAATGCTAGGAAGGGTGGAAGGAAAGAGAAGAAGAGGAAGACAGCAGGAAGGTGGATGGATTCAATTACAGTGGCAATAGGTGCACCGCTGGAAGAGCAGAAGGACCAGGTTAGAGATTGATCAACATGGAGAAAATCTATCTACGTGGTCCCTAAGAGTTGACACTGATATGATGGTACTTTGTCAATAAAAAATTGAGTCCCCTGCATCTTAGAAGATCTCTAGAAAGCTACTTCTGCACGCCAAAGAATTCAAGGATTCCTGACTGCGTAGGTTTAAAACTGTAGACTGACACTCACTTGTGACAAATCCTGAGAAGGTCATGTTGATCCAACCACCAATCAGAATCATAGGTAACACATTTGTTACATTCCCCTTCATCATATCTGTCAGCATGGTAGGATCTGCAAGGCAAGCAAAAGTTCAAGTGAATATATAACAGTTTGCCTCCAATGCTGGATTTCTGGAAAGCTTTGAATATTAATGTAAAAACCAAAATGAAACAACAGATCACCCTGACATAAATCTTCATTTAGTAAGCCAGTGTGGTATAGTAGTTAAAGAGTAGTCCACCCTCACCCACAGAAGGTCACTGGTTGACTTTGGATCAGTCACTCTCTCAGGACATTCTACCCCACAGAGTTGTTATGTGAGAGAAAAATAAATGAAGGAAGTGCGATGTACACTGTCTTGAGGTCCTGAATGAAATGTAGGATAAAAATCAAATAATTAAATACTATTAATATTTGCTTTTTGAGAATGACTATGGTGTTTAGGCCTATCTATACTCTACTCTTCTTGTCAATATTGTCAATATCTCTTAAGAGACATTTCTGGAACACCACACCGAACACTGAGGAGTTTTCAGTACCTTTTATAAACAGCATTTCCTCCTAATATTTTGGTCAAGGTGGAGAGGGGCAGGGGAGGTTAGTGAATTTATTTCACTAAAATTAATGAGTGATTGTTCTTTTTTCTTTTTTTGTTTTTATCCTAAACATTTATAATTACTTTAAACTTCATTTCAATTTAAAAATAAGAAGTGATGTATGAATAATCTTAAAATGCATATAAATTAGTAGATCTCAGTTGTTCTTTTTAATTGTCTTTCATTTTAAGGACATGAAGGGGACAAAGTATCTTTTAAAACAGTAAACAGTAGCAAACTCTTAATTGTTAGGATCAGAATCTGAAATTGCAACCATTATGCTGACAAGAGCCTGGAACATGTTATTCTTTCATGACAATTAGAGGGAAGTTCAAACAAAAGACAGTGACTACATCTGTGTGAAATAATGAGCTTAACTCAGCATTAGCCACATTGACTACCCTGCCAATCCTATAGACTACTTCACTACTCTGAAGCAGAGGCCCAGCAACTCTGTTCTGGAGGTTAGCTATCCCCATCATTTACTGTTCTATTCATTTAAGTTTTGAATTAATAGGAAAAAAAATATGGTGGCCAATTGAGGTCAGAATCTCATGCCTAAAGGATTGTTCAATTAATCAGGACTCAAGTTAATTCTCTGAATGTGTGGAAATCCAGAATGGCAGAGATGCTGTTGATGGAATGGCTCCATTTTGCATCTACTCCAGAGAGCAGCCTCTCTGTCTGGTAGGACAACATGGGCTGCTTGGGAACCAGCAAACCAGAATGCCAAGCTCCGACAATACTCTGGACTGTGGCTGAAGTATGTCACTGTAAAAAAAAACCTAGTTTCAGACTATATATAAAATGGTCTGCCTAAATCATAATCTAACCATAGTCAGTGTCTGGTTAACATAGAAAGCATAATCACAATGTAAGTTACTGAGCCATGCAACCATACACGTTATTTTTAAGTGTTCTGGGCTCTAATATTATATGTTGTTTTGAAGAGAGGTATATTATGAATAAAGGGAAACTACACTTCTTCACATGATCTTGCAGGATTTTCAAGAACTGAAGCAGAAAGAAAGACTTATCATGCAAAATATCTAGCTTGGTTTATTTTTCTAAATATATCAGCCATCAAATTTGGTAGCTATTTCTAAGCATGAAACAAAACTAGAAGTTTCTAATATTATTAATAAAACTCTTTCAGGAAGGCTTCTTACATACCCGTCATTGGGGAAGGAGGCACTACCTTTCTTTTAGTTTTCTTAAAGAACCCATCGTCAGGATTATTGAAATAATATTTCCGTGTCAGAAAGGACTGAAAGAAAAAAGACAACATTTATCAATGACTAGGTAATCTCCCAACAGAATGACCAGAAAGTGGATGTAAGGGAAAGGTTATAAAACTATGTTATAGAATGACAAGAAGTGTGTGTAGTAATGCTAATAGGAAGTATGAATACTTGCTGGAATGAAGAAGTGAAAGACCTGTGGATAAAGAAAACTGGATATAAGAGAATAATTGCTGCAGACATGAGGATGAGAGAAAATGTTACATAACATGTATACAGAAAGGAAGAAAGCTACAAAAAAAAAAGTAAGGGATGGTTAAAAAATGCACAGTAATAAAAATTTTTAAAAAATGGAAGTGGATGAAAAGGGTTAAAGGAACCTCCAGAAAAATAAAATTGTAGAACTGAAAGAAATGCATAAAAATTAATGAAAAGAGGTCATAAATGTGAGAAAGTTGAATAACGGTAAGGCTGTAGGTGTAGATGGTATAATTGGCAAAATGTTAAAAGAGTGCTTAAAGAGTGGTTCTGTACCTTGTGTAACATGGGTGTCAAGAATAATGCTGTTATTGTTTCCATATACCAAAAGAAAGGTTGCACAAATGAATGCAAAAACTGCAGGGGGATTACTTGATCATAACAGTGATTAAAAGAATAAAAGAGCTGAAAGTGAGCACAAATTGGGAAGTGCACTGTGGCTTTAATTTATTTGTGCATGATATCGTACTCCTTTTCTGTGCTTTGAAGAAAGGGAAAGCGTGATGAATATGTACATACGTACCCTGGGCATATACATTTCATAGGAAAGAACAACATCATTATATGCTCAGTTTTGAATAAAAACAACAGAAAGCCCTTCATCTGTAGAGTGCTAAGGAGATTATCTTGGAGAAATAAGGCAAAGATGATAGTTGCAAAAACATGCTTTAAGCCCAGGAAACAGAGGGAAAAAGAAGCCAAGACTGACTCCTCCCTAATTTACTAGCATATAAAAGAGAGGGAGGGGGAAACTCAGTCAGGCTTTCAAGATTTATATTACTAGAACCTATATCAATAAAGTATACTTCCAGACAGGCTTGTGAGTCTGTTTCTTGATCTGGCCTATCCCAAAGGCTGTTTCTTGGACTTAAAGGCCACCTCCATAGTTCTCAACATCACCTCATTACATAAGTTCACAGTTATTTTCTTCTTGATATTGATATTATTTTGACACTCACTTTATACACAGAATAAACAAAAGAAGCAGCTGAGTATATCTTTCATGATATATCATGTTCCCAGTTCTTCATTTAGTAACAATGTAACTAACTTATAAACAACCTCAGTTTACAAAAGGCCTACAGTACTACATCATTGGGTTCTTCATTCAGAAATGGCACCAGCTACAACAGTATGGAGAGTCTTCCTGATTTCTACTTTTGATAGTTCAGCATTTTATATTAGCAAATGTCAGAAGTGATTGCTCTGTGGGCTTGAATGTGCGTATTCATAATAGAAATGTTCTGCCTTTCAAATGTACCTAAGTGTACTTACCTTCCTGAGACTTGATGTTCTAGGAATAATCTCAAAGAAATCAAGTTTATCCTTTTTCTTGTACTTAGTTTGCAAGATATAATAAGCTACACCATAATTAGGTCTTGCACTACTTCCAAACATCAATCGTGGACTCAACTGTGGCTAAGGCAAATTTCCTTATACTCAGTTTGTACCCCTGATTTGTAAATGGTTGATTTACCAAATTATGGCTCTACAAGTTCTCCAAATCTATACTGGTTGATCAAGGTGAAGGATCTGAATCAATGGTTAACTTTCCTTCTGGTCTCTAGATATAAAGCCAAGAGACAGGAGTGGTCACAAAATGAGGCTGTTTTAGATGCAACATTTCTGATGATCCAGGTTTTGTTTTCACCCCTCGCAGGTAGTTCAATATGAAAGTATATCGAAAAGGTGGGAGAGAAGCTTAATATCCCATGCAGGAAAGCTCTGACTTCCATTGGACTACTGAGGAGTTTTTACTAACATGTCAACACTGAAAAAAAAAAAGGAAAAATAGTAGTAATCCTGGTAATGATAGCCAGCTACCTACGACAATGATGCTGGAACACTGGCTAACATGGACAACAACTGGTGAACTGGAGTTGGCTGGATTTGTCATGTCATCTCACACAGGAACCACAGTTAGTACAATTATTGTTAGTGACATATCTGGCTTAGTCAATCAAGCAAACATACTTAATAGCCTTTAATTTCAACACATAATAATGTCACATACAGGTATCTCTAACACATGGAAACATACCTGCTTTGGAATGTACTTCCCATTTTCTCTGAGGACTCTACTTCGAATGAGAACTTGGCTGAAATAAAACAAGGCCATTACATAAAATAGGAAAGGAAACAGGAAATCAGCAAAAAGATACACTTGTGTATGTTACATTTGGGCAAACTATGGGAAAACATCTTAATGCCAGTAACAATGCTGTTTTTCATTTACAAAATAACATTAGTTTGAAAAGATTGACATGCCTTGAGCAAGATTTCACAATCAGTGTGTTATCTGAGAATTACTTCCTTCCCTTATGCTCATACTGTATTGTCGAACAATGTTTTATATTTACCTTTGATAATGCCTTCACGAAATGCATCTTCCATACACAGTAATGTTTTATGTTTAAGATAACACAATCCATAAACATTCAAAGGTAGAGCTTAACAGCTATGAATCAATCTGCTATTTTGTGGAAATCAAATCATATATGGATTCTTACTGATACATAAAGGAACAAATAACAATGAAGTTTGGTTCCTGTTTTATTTATTTTACAAACAAAGTTATTCAACTTGAAATGAGCCACGAGGAAATAGGAATTGTTTGCACTTTCTTTAGCTGCAGTAACAACTGCAGCTAAAAGATGTCAGGCCCAGCCCAAGAACGACAACGAGGCGGTCCAGTCCAGTTTGGTTCCTTTATTAGCTTGCACCTAATAGACAGAATCTCGCCCGACTAAACTTATGCTAAAGCAACTAGTGGATATACCCCGTGAGACTCTAGGGAGGAGCCAGTCTCAGCTTCTTCCTATTCTCATGGTCCTGCTGCGGGCTGAGGAACTGCTTGCTCTGTAACCTCTCCAGGAGTGCTCCCCTCCCTCCTGATAACCTTGATCCTCCATTTCATTTTCCTCCCCGCACAGCTTCCTACAATTGGTGATCCCTCTCTCTCACATCATTCCACTGGCCCATGGCAACTACTCAGTAATATTTAAGGATTTCAAGCATTAATTGCTCATTTTTGGTCCTGCCACAATAGGATTTACATCTAGAACTTGACCTGACCACTCCAAAACATTACATTTGTTTTCTTTCATTGTCTTATATGTTTTGAATCACTGTCTTACTGCATGCTGCTCATATTTCAGCTTCAGCTGACAAGCAGATGGCCTGATATTCTCCTGCAAAATTCTCTGATATGAAGAGAATTCATGCTTCTTTCAGTGATGGCAAAACATCCAGGTCCTGAGGTAACAATATGTCCCCAAACCATGCCACTACTACCTTCATGCTTGAAAACTGATAGTGTTCTTATTGTGGAATGTAGGGTTTGCTAGATAAAACAAACCCATGTAATCTATAAAGTTCAATTTTTCCTTCCAGGAGTCTGGAGGTTCAGCCACTTTACATTAACACCCTTCACTATATCTCTCCATTCCATACTTTTCTATCCTGGCCAACTGTACTTATTTCCATTGTGTCCATACTCTGATTCATACACTATATTTTGTTCCTTAAAGTTTCACTTCTCCCTTTGTGAGGACTGCATCAACTCCATCCAATCAGAACTTGATCAGTCTTCTCCTTTATCTCAACCCATTCACTCTTCCTCCATTTATCTGTTTTGCAATAGATCCCCATCCATTCTCTTTATGTGACCAAACCACCTCAACCATACTTCTTTTGTACTGGTCACTTGCTTTGTATTCAGTCTACATTCATTCAACACCAATACATTCTTCATCTTATCACTTCTCATTTTACTACTTACACTTCTTAAATTCTCCATTCCCACTACATTCAATTTACTTGCATGTTTCTCCTGATATACCAACTTCCACTTCCACATAGCAAAGTGTGCAGAAGCATACATAGCCATTTTTTGCTTATTTCAACATTCATTCCTTGCAACAGACCACATTCAACTACTACCTTTCCACCAGTATTTATACATCTTAAGTTTCCACATCTGTTGTAAACATTATTCCAAGTTATGCAAATTCTTATATTGTTTTTTCACCATTTTTGCTAATTTGTTCATCTTCCCTGACAAACACAATTACTTTGGCCTTCAATACATTAATGTTCAGCCCCCCCCCCTTCACTGTATTTAACATTTGCTATAAATCATTTGGGTTCTCAGCCTACAACACAGCATTGTGCTGTTGCATACAAAAGCACACACATTCACATCTCCAAGGGATACATTTCCTAATGGCACCACAATCATTATTTCTATATTTATCCATATACTGTATAAATTAAACAATAAAGAGGATATCATACATCTTTATCTTACACTTTGGACAGTGTTGAACCATTCACTGACATTCTATTTATTCTCATGCAAGCTTCACATACACTATATTTTGATTTTACTGCATTCAGCAACCACCTTTCAACTCCATGTCTATACAAAACATTCTGTGCCTCTTCTTATGTAGTATTTTCTCTCAATCTTCCAAGATAAACTGCCAACTCACTCATGCTTTAGATTTATTCATTTCCTATATCTGGCATGAACAGACTTTAAACCACATATTTGAAACAGACCTCTTTCTAAGCAAATGCCCACCACAAAAATCAACACTATCATTCATTCTTGGATCTTTTGCTGTTGTTATATATGGCAAAAATAATTATACAGGGCAAAAATATCAAAAGGATAATACATTTGTCTGTCTCAGGATATTTTTTTTTTCTAAATCGGTACCAAAATCATTTAGAATGGGTTTGATGTATTATCATCATGATACGTATTTTTAATCCAAACATTGAGATTTAACTACTTCATAAATAGACCAAGAAGTCCAATGATTTAGATGCAGCCAGACAGAAACCACTGCTGTGTCATGAGCCTGTACGTAAAAATCCAGAGCTTCCTCTGAAGTTCTCAAAGAATGGGGCAAGCTCATGTAGGAAGCAACAATTATTAAGATATCCTGGGTCCATGCCAAAGATGATTTTTTAAACATAATAAATACCACCTTACTTGGTGCTTTGAAACAAAGTAGGAACCAGTATGGATGCTGTAAGCTCCCAAATAAAATCTTGCTGATGTTTGCTAGACCAACTGAAGATTTTTTTTGAGATTCTTCAGCAGCAGCACCATGTAGAGTAAGCAGCAGGCGGCTCATCTAGGGCACGTATCACCAAGACTAGGCATAATCTAGTCCATGTTGCTACTTGGGTATCTTAGGAGCAAAAGAAGGTCAAGGCATACTCCCAGATTTCTAAATAAAATATACATGTCTACCGCAAGAACCAATACAAAGTATAATATATGCTATCTTCTGCACATGACAGAAGTACTTGTTGAGCAGCTCTAGATCCTCCTGCATATACTATAATCAATCCCATAGTATATTATCATAATTATTATTTAAAGGACAATAATCAAACATTTAGGACACCTCTTACCTGTCAGACACTTGTTCCTGAGTGAGCTTTTTATCACTCTGGAGAAGGATGGATACATAGTGACGAATCATCCCCACAAAGAAGGTGATGAAGACTATGGGAAGCACCACCCATAGTCGAATATTGGAGTCCAACAACAGTTCTGGTTCACTCATTTTTAAGAAGAGTTCTGGTCATGCACACCAGCTTCAATCTTTAATCTCTAAAAGATCACAAAGTGTAGTATAATAACTGATGAGTCCAACAGGTGCCGAATAAGGAATTATCATTCCTTCTTCTAACTTTTCCAGAATTATGTACACAAATGTACATTTAAACAAAAATCTTGAACAAAAAAATATTTTTGGGGGGTGCTATGAAAGCTTTGAATATTATTTTTCATTTGCCTTCAGGGAAGCCTCAGGCTGGAGGAGACGCTACTCTGAGAACGTGGCTTAGATTTGCGCAGGAAGCGAGAGGAGGACGTGAGGAATGAAGTTAAATGAAATGCAGTTAAAAAGAAGCAGGGCTTCATTTAAAAGAGATATTAGTCTCAGGACCTATTTTAACACAAGGAACTCAGTTCTAAAACAGAGGAAGTAAAATAAATCTCTAAACTTGTACTACTATACGTGTCTTCCCCTTTCCACGAAGTAATCACAATCCGCTTTCACACGCCTAGAATTAAGTACAGGTGATTTAATCCTCGGTGCTATTTTTTTAAATAAAGCATATGGGAATGATTTTGTGCCTATTTCTTCTTAAATCACAACCATCCCACTCTTTGGAGGTCCCATCTTTCCAACTACGGAAAATGGAAAGAGGCCGAAGCCCCGATTTTTCCACTCAGGCTAATGGGGACATTCGGGGACCCGCTTCCCACCTTCCCAACACCAACCTGGTCCCCCTTCAGCCTTCCGGGAGCAACGAATGACGTCCTCTTAAAGTGCCCGAAAAGATGGCTGTTACGTGACAGATGAGATCATCACAAAGCGCCCCCGCTGGGCGTTTAGCGGGAGAGTTTCAAAGCAGAGAGGAGATCGCGCGCCGAAGTTGTGCAGCGGCTGCGCTGTAGTTGCATCTCGGTGGTAAGCAGTAAGTAGTCCGCGTGGGAACTGTGATTGTTCGGCTTAGTCGTGGCGGAGGACAGAGATTCTATTTGGGCGCAATGGCTGTCCTGGGAGCCTCGCTTCTTCTGGCAGTATCGCAATCAGTCGGGGAAGGGAGGTGACAGAATGAAGTGACTTGGAAAGGAAGGGAGAGATACACAGACACATAGAAAAAACTTCTCATTGTCTCGATAGTTTCATTCCCGCTTGATATGCAGGAGTTGCTTTTCCCTCGGACCGAAGGGAGAGAAATCCAAGATTTCATTGTGGTTGAAATTAGGCACAAAAGTGCTCAACTCCTACCCCGCAGAAATCCAGAATGTAGATTCATCATCTTCCCACCAAACAGCCTCCTGACCACTGAGCATAAGACTAAGCTGTATGGGAGGGGAAGAATGGAATCGCTGAAGGCCTCAACAGAAGCATTCCAACAGCAGCAATTTGTTGTAGGTGTACCTGTGTCCAGTTGTGTTTGTGAAAATGTATTTGGGTTACCTAATCATATAGGCCTACCATGATAGGCACATTCTCTAGATGATTACAATAGCTCCTTTTTCTACTTTTATATAACAATACCACATCTTTCAGATGAAATTATTGTGCTGGAATGCAATGTTGTGTCTATAGTTTATTTGTTACACAATTATTTGCAAAATCTTGATATAAAAACACATTTTCTTCAGCCAGTCTCTAATTTTCACCCAATATTCCTAATCTAGGATACATCAGCACCTGTTGTCATGGCTTCAAAACGGAAATTGTTCAAACCTCATGTCTATCGCGAAAATCTGACAGAAGAATTAGCAAGTATGTAAAGGTGGAACGTTTCTTATTACATGAAATCCCTTTGCCATGGACATGAAGCAAAGGAATACTATTGCTTTTAGAACTGTGAAGAACAGCAACAAGAGCAAGCTTCTTCTCCCCACCTGTGAAATAACTTTTTTTCCATATCATAAGCAGTGAATATGAAAAGTTAATTGTAGGCTCTCGGGAAATTTCCAAAGCAGTAATATCTCTCCATCATGAATTTCAAATATCTATTTAATTTGTTTATTTATTATAGAACTTTATACTGGTCAATTACAAACATTGATCCTCAAGCATTATTGCTGTGGTTGTATTGTTATTTGATGACATCCATGGTCCATATTGTTTGCTCCTGAAACATTCATGCACTTGTAGTTGCATAATATAGTAAGAAAAAGTTGCAGTGCTTCTGTTAATTCTGGACCAGGGATGGGAATAAGGGATTCTCCTGGTAGCCAAGCTGTTGCTTCAGAGGACCTTATAAATGTAATCTGATTAAAGAGACAATTAATTTCCTTTCCCCCAGCTTGAAGGAAGAGCTAGGGCTTATGTGAGCAATGTTGTCTTACCAAGTTTAACCAAATACTTCAGAAGTAGACTGTGTTAATCTTTCTGCTCCCAAATCTTATACCAGAGAGGAAGCTTGCCTGTATCTTATTTTGATTCCAATGTGTGTGGAGACTCTCGCCTTCCTTATAGGCTGGACCTCTTTCTGTGTAGAGAGCCAGGAAGGTGACTTTGGAGAAGTGAGGCAGAGATGACAGTTGCAAAAATATGCTCTAAGCCCAGGAAACAGAGAAAGCATAAGAAAGAAGCTAACTTCTCCCTAATTCAATAGATATAAGAGAGGGGAAAACTCAGTCAGGCTTTCAAGATTTGGTTCCTGTAGCCTATATCAATACAAATATAGTTCTAGCTAGACCTATGAGTCTGTTTCCTGACCTTGCCTACTTCAAAGGGCTGATACCTTGTTGAATAATAGCAAAATACCGGTAACTAAAAGTTTTGGTCATCTGGTAGCCCCTTTTCCAACTAACAAATGTTATTAAAAGGCATAAGGTTTCATGAGCTGCAGCTCACTTCATCAGATGCATAGAGTGGCTAGAGTGATGTAGGATTTAAATTGGGGTGAGGCTGGGGGGTAGGGAAGGGAGGGGAAGACAGGTTGGTTATGGAGATGCAGGTAACATGAGACAGATTATCAGGTAACGTCATCAGTTAATAATTGTAATATGTTAAAAAATCCACTGTGTGTGTGTGGAGACATTTTGAGCTTGCCTGAAACCTTTTGATGTATGTAAGTAAAACAACCTCTTGCTCAGTGGTGGAGTTAAAGTCCCATTTTTCTAAAACAGTCACTTTGAGGTCTGCTGTAAAGTGTCCTGAGAAGTTAAAATGCTCTGGTACTACTTTGTTCTGAATCCTAATATCAAGTTTGTATCCATTAATTGTTTTGCACAAAGTTTGTCCTGTTTCAATAGAAGAGAATATATGTAGCTCAGGGTTGAACTGTGGAGTCCTTGGGGTTCTCTGAGTTCAGAGAACCCCAAGGATTCCACAGTTTGTCTTGTTTGTCCTACATAGAATCCAGAGGGGCATTGCTGGATATCACATTACAGGAAGAGCATGTTAAGGCGCTTCTAATTTTCTATGTGTATTTGTTGGATCCTGTGGTGTGGATGTGGGGGCAAAGTAGACATCTGGGTTCATTGCATTATGGGACTGCCGCCCAGCACTTGAAAAGGTGCAGTGTCATTGTCCAGTGTGGGCTGTAGCTTATTAATGCATTTGAGCAATTTGAGTGTGAGCTTCTGTCTATTTCTTTTAATAGACCCTCCCTAGGGCTTTGGTCTTCTAAAAGACAGATGAAATGAATTAAAGCTCATGAAAACTTATGCCTTTTACTAACATTTGTTAATCAGAAAAGACACTACTGGACACTGATTTTTTGCCACCATAGACTATCACGTCTATCTTTCTACAATGTCCACAGAGGATATAATAATCTTAATTTGAGTATGTGAAACTATTGGTAAAGTAATGTTTGAGAGCCCTGAGAAAAGCAGACATAGTGTAGTAGAGAATGCAGTTCAGTAAAAAAAAAAAAAAAATCACGCTTAAGTCCCATTGATTTTGGTTTAATTCAGTATGAGGATCATGTCCAGCAATTATGATCTCAGTATACAGACCACTTACTGCTTAAATGTGTGTAAGGCAGGACCATTTTTCATTCTTCTCCCTCTATAGTAACTACAATTGGCCTCTCAGTGCAATCCATAAACAATCCGTTGCTTTGCTTTTCCAAGGCAGGGATCAAAACATTGGCATAATTTTTTGACTTGAAAGTTAATTTTTCCATTTAGCTGTTATGATTCAGCATTAATCCTGACATTTGTTTCTCTTAGAAACAAAAAGGCCTCGAACCTCTGGAAAGAAAAAGTCTGATCCACAAGATGGTGATATAGAGAGCAGTAATGTTTTTGGGCATCTCCTTAAGGCAGCAGGGATTACACTGAAAGCAGGAGAAAGACAGAATGAAATAGGTATTGTATGTTGTGATATGCTTCCTTGCTAAATGGAGTACCTGGTGTTAGATATGAAAATCCAGGGGGGAAAAATGCCCCCCCTTTTTTTGCCTGAAGACTTTTGAGTTGTGAGGGTGAGGGGTTTGTCTGAAAAAAGAGACTATTAAATATTTTCTAATATTTCTTTTAAATAATACATAAAATGGTTAAGATGTCAAAGAAATAGGCCTGGGAAGTACTCAAACCAATTTAAAAAAACTAATATGAAAGAAGAGAGAAACTTCTCAGTACTGACAAAATTTCAGTTTTCAGAAGTCTTTGAAAATGGTAACAGTAAAAGATCAGAAGTAGAATCTGTTGACTTTATTTCAGTTTCAGGAAAAGAGACTGATTTAACAGTGCTCACTGTAGCAAAATATATTCTGAGTCTTGTCTATTTTCCCCCCATCCCTTCCTTTTACCAGCTATTTTCTGAAAATTAAGGTTTTCTTTACACTGTGCAGGTCAACATCCAGGATACTTGAGTCTCTTATTTTGTACTATTGATGGTTTATTATCTTTTTCATCAATTTTTAAGCAGAGATGCTACGTTCCTTAGAGTTATTAGCTCCTATCTAAATTGTAACAACATTTTTAAAATTTAAGAATAGATTGAAGCAATAAATGTATGCCTGAATAAATTGCATTGTTTGGTGTTATCTATCAAACTTTTATAAGAAAACCAAATTTTACAGAATACGTTTTATAAAATAAGAAAGATTTTGTACCTTTACAGATTGTTAAGAATTAGATACTTCATATATACAGCGTCCCAGAAATAGTAGAGTGGTAACTGAAATAAATTTCAGTCATCAAATTTGATGATGATAATGGTGGTGGTGATGACTAATTTGTTCTGCATTTTTATATTATTTCTTGGACATACATATTTATTAAATTGTTTTAATTTTTTTTCCTAATTTACTGTCAAATTTTGACTGCCCTATTATTTTTGGGAAACCCAGTTTACTGATTTTTCCCAGCATTTCTTTTTTTTTTCCCCACTGATCAATATTTCTGGAAAATCTGCAGCTTTTCTAATGTATGTTTGAGCATATTTACTGCTAATATTTGTGCAAAGAGAGGAAAACATTCTATACAGCAGTTTTTGATGTGTTACCATCAATGTCCTGCTTTTTAATGTCAAAGTCTATCCTTCATTAAAGATGACACTGTCAGCTATTTTAGTATGATTTTCTGTCTATTGGATTTATTTTATATGTTTCTGTATGACTATAGTTAATATAAGAGTTTGTAAAATACATTTTTGAGGTTGCACAAAGAAACATCAGCAGGGAAAAATTATTTATAGAGAATCCAGCTTGGATATTTTATATA